ATTATGTTTTTCAGTAATCAAACTAAGTGTTTGGCATTATTAACACAAATCATTCATGACGTAATATGAGATCACATTTAGACTTTACAGCTCTTTATATTTGATAATTAAATTTTGATAAGAGATTCCGTCTAAAAAATTGAACTACTGACTAACTTTCTGACTGAGAATTTCGGGGTTGCGGTCTAGGGGCAACGGTCTTATATTTCTTGCTAATTTCTGCATTTTATATTGTATGCAGTTGAAATGCCAGATAAAGCCTTTCATAAGCATATGTCTTTCCTGATATTAAAACATTAAAAAAACTTAAGCCACTTATAAATCTTAATAATGTTATTGTATACTTAGATTAAATGATTTTTTCTTTTTTCCACAACTGTCATGAAAGTACAGTACACAAGAACTAGTATAATCATGCCAACTTTAGCTTAATTTATAAGAATTTTTTTAATTGTTTGCAGAAAATCAATGTAGCTTTTTGTTTTCATTTTGATAGTTTCTGTAAATATCTTCTAGAATCACAATAATAGTAAAACTTAATTTATCTTAACTGTACCATCATTCAGTACTAGATAAATCTATGTTAATTATGACTCATAATGACTTAATTTTACTTGTTTTTACTGATAAGATTTAGTTTATAACACTTAAAAACAGTACCTTGCCGAATTTAGTATGAAAACGACCTGATGTATATGTCGAAATATCAATATTTCTGACATTTTCTGCAATTTAGTCGCTACGTATCAAGAACAATTTTCTAAGAACTAGCAACTTTTGACGTAGAATATAAACTAGGTCAAGAAGTTTTGGGTTACATTTTACTTTTTATTGCTATCAAAATATAAATTAATTACCTTCAATCCTCTGAAATTATTATCAAGTGTTTCTTTTTAGGGTAAATTGCATATATGTTAGTAAGAATATGCAATGAGTTCTATACCATTCATTTAGCTTTTGCACAATGACCAAATAGGAGTTCAGCTACATATTTAACCATTGGAATAGCTACCTGTCAAATCATTAGAATAAGGCACTGCTTAGTTTGATTGCAAGTAATTTGCCCTTGTAGCAAATAGATTCTTATTCAAGGACATGTCATAAAATCATGAGATGATTTAACCCCCATTTTTTGTTTTTCAGTGTTCCTTTGTTTCTTTTATTGTGTTCTAAAACTCTAAAAAAGTCAAAATATTTTAAAAAAATCCCTGAGACAATTTAATCATGAGCATGTGTTAATATGAAAAATGAAACGTATGTTTTAAACAGTTTCATAATCATTTAAGGTTTTGCCACATTTAGCTTTGGCAACTACATATGTTGATATTTTTTATTGATTATCCTCATGCTGATATGTTTAACAAGAGTGTAATTATATGTATTTTATGTTATTTTATACTAATCTGAAAATGATTGCAGCTGAAAACTAAAATAAACAAACAATTTTTATACGGCGGCCATCTTTGATTTTGGCGGCCATGTTGGATTTGCAAAACCTAGATCCGCAGCTTGAATGCAAATAAATGTAAAATACTATAATTATAAATCGGTGCTATTTCGTACTGTTGTATAATGGCGACAATAGCATTCTAAAAAAATTGATATGACGACAGTCTTGGATTTTTGCAGCCATCTTGGATTTGGACTACCTAGATCAGAGGCTTGAATGTAAGTTAATGTTTTATGCAATTAAGTTGTGCTATTTCATACTGATTTGTAATGACTACAGCTGAAAAAATAATACTCTTAAAAACAATATATGGCCGTCATCTCGGATTTTTGCGGCCATATTGAATGTGTACATCCTTGATCCCAGGCTTGAATATTAATTAATATGAAATATAATAATTTGGTGCTATTTCATACCGTTGTAGATACGACTATAGCTGAAAAAACAAAATACTAATATATGGCGGCCATTTTGGATTTTGGTGCCCATATTGTGTCGCACAACCCAGATCTCAGGCTTAAATCAAAAGCATTTTATCAACCAACAACTGTGCCATGTTTCATGCTTTTCTCGAGAGGTGCACAATGTGACCCTATTTTATGCACGGATTTCTTGGCAAGGGTTTCATGATACTTGTATAAGATGGTAGATAATTCTAAAATGATGGTATCATAGGTTATGTACAATCATATTATGATTCTACTCTACCATATTTAGTTAATTTCAATACTTTCATGTCAACAAATAGTGCAAAAAGTATATAATCAGTTGCTATGTTATAGATCAGTTGCTTTATAGGTTAAGGTCGTTGACTTCAAACGACTTGCCCCTCACCGGTGTGGGTTCGAATCCCGACAGGGACTTCCGATTCTTTTATGTGAGAAAGCTATCCAGCTAGCTTATGGAACGTCGGTGGTTCTACTCAGGTGCCTGAAATAATGCACGGAAGGGCACCTGTACCTTCCTTCACCAGTAAAGCAGGAATGTCACGATATGACCTATACTGTGTCGATGTGACGTAAAACCCAAAATAGAAAAAAAATAAAAAGAATGTAATAAAACAGTTGCTTTGTCTAAAAAATGAAAGTAAGTTTAAATAGTGAGATAGTGAGATATAGTTATATAATTATGTTTTGTACAAATTTGTATTTGATGTTCATATTTGTAAAAAACATAAGAATGTGTGTACATTAACATCACACATCATATAAACTTAAAACTAATTAAGGTGTTCATAAGAATGCATGTAAAGCGAACAGATTTTTTTGACATTGTCATATCCAGTATATGATGTTTAGATGCTCAAAAATTAGATATATATATCATGTTTATACTATGTATTAGAAAAAGAAGAATATACTGAAAACATGTTTGTAGAGCACTCTTTTCTTTAAGGCAAAATTTATGTCAGGTTTGGTAATACCCTATTTAAACAGATCATTTTTTGATCTTCATATGACGTTCAACAACAATTCTATTCACACGAATATCTATGATAAAAAGATGACTTTGATTTTTGTATAGTTAATTATCCACATTTTGATGGAGACGTACTCTATGCAACATCTTACGGGGTGTATGTTTCTCAGTTAATTAGATTCGCTAGAGCTTGTAACAACGTAAAGGATTTCAACGATCGGAATATTTTCATTACCAGCAAGCTTCTAAAACAGGGCTACTGCTATCATAAATTACGGAAATATTTAACAAAAGTTTACAATCGTAATTTAAATTTAATTTCAAAAATCAATAGTGATTTTGAAACTCTTCTGCGACAAGGGATTTGCCAGCCTGGTTTTTATAGCGATTTGATTTACAAACTCGTAAGATTTTGGGTCATGGTAATCTTTCTGCTGTTTTTACTAAAATCATTAAACATTTCATTTAAAGAGTTAATGACCCTACTTTTTTAAGACATACTGCATGCTTAGTGTTCAACCCTTTTACAGTTGGACACTACGATTTTCTCTTTTAATTACATCTGATGGACCAAGTGTGAGACTATGATGGACAGTTCTCTTCTACGTTTAGTATATCCCCCTTTGCCCCTAGACTTTATTTCTTTAATTTCTCTCCCCCCACCTCCCTTCCCCGGGTCTCCTGTCCCCTTCCCATGTGCCCTTTGACTTTGTGGGTCTATTATTTGTTTTCTTTTACATCCTTATCAGTTACAAATAATTTCCTATTATTCAGTCATATCAGTTACCAATTATTTATCCTTTTAGTGATTAGCCTATCCGTGTTCTGCCTTGTGCCCTGCCCTGATCTGTATGGGGTCCGCCTGGGCTCCTTGCCACTGGTTCTTGTTGCAGAAAAGGGAAAAATATTATATAAATGACATTTCTTATGCTACTCATTATTTTGCATTTCATGTGCCCTGTTACTTCGTGAGCCTGTTAATCAATCATTAATTTGTCTCCTTCAATTTCCTTGTCGGCTTCTATTATTTCCTTTCATGTATTATTTAAAGTGATTATCCTGTCTGTACTCTTCCTTGTGCCTAGTTCTGTTTTTGTTTAGGGTCCTCACGGACTCCTTGACGCTTGTCATTGTTATAAGGTCGTGTGGGGGTTTCGTTCAGTCAAGAATAGAGACTGAAAATATAGACAATCATACTGTTGACAACTACTAATAATTTATTTTATACTTATCATATGCTTTTCCTTCTCTTGAATGCCAAATGTATTATGTCTATGTTCCAGTTAATTATATTTTCCAATACCTATATTCCTGTTGATTCAGAGTTCATAAAGTTTTCAAACCAATTACATGCACCAGATTATTCAATTTCTGCAGAAATTCTTCCCAAGCTCAATATATCGATACAAACACTTCATGTTTTGCTTTTTCTTCATTTTTAAATTATTTTTCATCTTCGCCTATTCTTTTTGTAATAATTGTATTTTATTGTCACCTTTAGTATCTAGGAAAGTAACTTAGTTACAAAAAGCATTCACTTCGTTGGATATTTATTCTTTTTAATTGATACTCCTTTGACGTTTCAACACCTAATTTTATTTCTAGAGCTGATATTAAACCATCAAGCCTAGCATTTTGTTGTTTAATATTGAGTAAACAACAATAAATTTTATAAATTCCATTACGTCTTGATTCAATATTATTTGCTATTACTTGAAGATGTTGCATGTGTTATTCTAATTTGTTTAAATCTTATAGTTTGGTTTCATGATCATACTTAAGAAGCCTTTTAAAGATCTAAATTTCTTTTATCTTAATGTTACCTGTTCAACTTTTAACTGATACAAATTCAACACTTTCTGCTCTCTGTTTCAGAAATTTTTGTTTCAAATTATTTTTTGTTGAATCATAATTATTATCATTTATGCCTGTTATTTTCGTTTGTATCAGAATTTTCCACAAGCTTTGACAGTGCGTCTTCAAAAAAACTTAATTTCTTGAGCAATGTTATCTTGGATTTAAATCATTTTATTTTTATTGTCATTTAAGTTTTCATTTTGAATTTTACAAAAAAAATGTGAAGAATTAAATTAAATATGTACTAATCAGTATTTGAGTTTCTTTCATCTTATTTTTCAAAGATATACTATTGTAATGTAAGATATCAAAAGTACGTTTACATACAGTAAAGATGCATTATAACGTATCATAAGCTTTAGGATGAAATCACGTACAATATTTTTGATTAAAAAAATAAACATCACGACTTTGAGAACAGATATGGCGTTGTTCATATAGCTGGCAGATAACTGGGTGAAAACAAACTTGCCCATTAAAAATTAAGTCTTATATTTCCAGTTTCAAATTAATTTGAACATTTGTTTCTATCAAAAATTAAAACTTTCTTCACTTCAACAGACACCGATATTTTGACACTCGTCCAATGCACAGTTTGATTGCATGGCTAAAAGTTATCTTCTCTGGAAATCCGATTCAGAATGAACATGAAACACATATGTTAGTAATCAGATCTATATGTAAGAAATAAGCAGATATGATCTTTAGTCAGAGTGAAAGAGTGAATTTCATATATTTACATTTTAATCTAACATTCATTGATAAACTTTAAGGTACGCTGTAATGTTAGTGTTGGAAAAAGCAACAGAAGTATTTTCTTGATTTTCTTGTTCCTAGTACAGTGTGTGTCATCTAGTGCTTTATAGCCGCCGGACATTAATATTGAAAATGAAAAGGGTGAACATTGCATGTCTAGACTACATAACACGTTGTTTTGGGTATATGTAACTATGGATAATTCAATCATAAAAAATCTTCGGAATAATTAACTATAACCATACTGTGCTAAATTATGTTTAAGGTTTGTTCTCTGAATTTTCTGTTTTGTAAAACATATTTTGATCCCCATGCAAAAGATAAACACTTGATACAAGCGATAAAAACTAGTCCCTAGATATTTGATGTATAGCATATTCGAATAAAACCTTACTAAGAATTTTTAAAGCATGAAGAAGATATTGGAAAAGTCCATGGGACATCTGTTTATACATAAAATCAAACAGAGCGACAATCTTCATTTCTTAAACATTGAGGCTAAGAGTCAATCTATTTGCAGTGAAGCATTATGTTAAACTTTTATATATCGTGTTTATGTCAGGTTTTTGGATGAGAATTGGTACATTTCAATGGCTACTTAATCTAAAAAATATTTCCCAGAATCTTAAGCCGTCCGGTTCGCTCAATCGTTAGAGTGTGGGACTGTGAATCGGGCGACCCTGTCGTTATCCGGAGTGAAAACTACCGACACCACCACCACTCCAGGAATCTGCATTGCATAAATATATGTGCTCTAACATCACTCTGTATTGTGACAAATAATTTATGTGAATAATTTTTCTTTAAGGATTCTGGTATTCACTAAGTTAATGGTTTCATCTATTCATTATTATAATAGGAAACATAATGAACAAATATGGTCTAGAAAACAGATATGAAGGATAATGTATAGCATAAAGGACGCAACTAAATTGATTTAGGCCATGTCTTATTGATAAAATGTTTACTTTTTGTTTCATTGACTATTATACTCGTATTGAACTTAAAAGATATGTTATGCTCAAATTTTGATATTGTAAATATTGATAATTGCTACATAGTCTCTTTGTAAATATAAACTGAACATGTTTCGTCTTTATTTTAAGTAGATATGCCATGTTTTAAGCTCTATACACTATAGATGAATACAATATGAATATAAAGTGTCATTAAAATCACTGGCAGTTTTTAAAGAAAAAAAACACTTTTACTTGGCCCGGAATAGAGAATGTAGCTTTCCATACAAAGTTTATTCATTCTTTTATTCAAATTTATCACATTCAGTATGAGTTTCCTAGATTTCAGTACATTTCTGCGATATAAGAATTTTAGCCAAAGATGAGCATAGTATATCTTTAAAAATAACCGCAGAAAATAGAGTCCCGAAGTATAGATATTTGGTATTCGTGTCCTTGCGTGTGTATTTTCTTAAAACATATGTTTTGCATAGTGCATATATGCTTTATGACATTCTTTTTAGTTTAGTTTACAGTGAGATCATATTTTTTTTTGTTAATTTCACAATGGAATGATAAAAATATACCATTATCAAAAATATTTTTGAGTGGGAATGGAAACAGTCATAAATGAAAACAAATTTTATCAATTTGTCAGAAAACACTATGTCATAACGGAAATATACATGTTGGAGGTCAATTTTCATGGACGGACCTCAAAAAATCCTGAGTTGAAGATACTCCTACTTATGAACTAATACTTTTCTTTAGGACATACAGACACTTTCCTGCCTATTAAAATATCTGAGCTAGAAACTGAATTGCCTAATTGTCTCAATTTTGATATCATTATGCAGTGAACTTTTAATTGTTATATAAACCACAAGGATAACGTTAATGACCTGACAAAGTTTACATATATTACTTATTCGTTTATGAATATTTGCAGGTTCAATCGTTGATTTGTGTGTTTTTTGTCTCCATTGGATTGAATTTAGTTATTTTCAATTCATACTTTAAAGAAAACAAAGAGAATGAATGGAAAAATGGCACATTTAGGTATGATTTAAATTAGATATATATATTTAAGTTAACTGTGAAATATCCTTTTCAATTTAACTTAAAAAAATTATCAAGCCCAAAATCTTTCGATTTATGTTACAAAGATAACAAGAAAATTTTATTCAGCAATGTATAGATAAACACATTTCGAAAAATGAAAGAGAAAAATAGTCTGTGATGTGTTCAAAAATAAATTTACATCAGGAAAACGTACTTCGTTAGTTTAAAGTAAAACCATTGTATTGATTTATCTTTCTAAATTAAGTCTATTTCATGAATATCACGAATGTTAATACTGTGATGAAACTATTTTGAAATCTAAGTTATGTTTTGTTCAAGTATTTTATTTTGCTGCATAATGTTTTAGTTCGGATTGACGACAACAAAATTATTATCAATTAACATTGATCGTTGCATACAGATGGCAGATTATTTATTGTTTGCAACCGTTTAAGTAACTATATAAGCATCAAGTACCAGTTTAGTTTTGTTTTTTTTTATTATTTTTTTTTATTATTTTATTTTTAACTTCCAACATTAAATAAGCTTTCCATTGCATCCTTGAAAAAGAAATATCAATTTTGTCTGTACATGTAAAATTTAAAAATCGATATAGTTACATTTAGCTAAGTTACGTTATCAAAATAACATGTTACGATTTATAACACATAAATGCTAAAAAATATCAATTCAGGTCAATATTTCAAACGATAAACAAACATAAACAATTTCGAAGCGAAAATGCAATTATACCTGACAAAAACGTTGTGAAGTCCACAAAATGTGAGGATGTCAATATTTCGGCAAGCCCGTTGCTATCCACATTACAGCTAGGTAAATATACAAGTGTTTTGTTTATTATTTCATATTTGTCCGGTTCTGAGTTAATGCAATAAAACAAACTGTTTCGTATTTTTTTCTATGATAAGCTTTGATATTTAAGATAGAGAAGAAACAATATTCAATAAATTACATAAATTAGACCACTATTCATTTTCTTGATTGTGAAACATATTTTGAAGCTACTATAATGTAAAGAATAATACAGAAAACTGACATGTAACATGGATACAATCACTTTTACTTCCTCAATTTAGAACGTTTTGATCGGTTACTTAAAATTGGAGATAGAATACGTGTATTTGTACAACTGTTTGATTCCTATGGGAAAAGGAAAACAACAGGCGGAGATTATCTTCGTGCTAGAATATGGAAGGAAGAGTTTAATTTGTCAGCACCTGGAATAGTGTTTGATAATACAAACGGATCATATCTGATAATATTTGAATGTTTCTGGAGCGGACTATCACAGATAATTGTATCAATAGCATATACACAAGAAGCAGTTTCAGCACTGTTTAAGTTAATGACAAAGGTAGGTATTTGCATTCTACGTAGAGTACAATTAAAGCCATATCTATACAGGAAAATGTTATTTCAAGCAAGCAATCTTATTCCGTTCTACAAATTCCACGGTACGTCTAGAAAATTGCAATAGGCACACATACAGCAATGTATGACTTTGCTAGTATAGCTGATTTCCAAGCAAATGTATGAGCTTGTTTGTCACGGGAGAGCTTGCATTCTACCACCTGTCAAAGTTCAACGTTCTTATCTTGCTTTTGCACCTAGATTGACTTTTGAGAATAAATTTACATTTGTGAGAGTCTTACAACACGTTATTTTAGCTTAAATTATCATAAATGATATCTATGATATGTATTATCATCTGTTCCAAGTTTGAAATAACATTCTCGCCACGTTAAGATTAAAGACATTAAAACAAAAATAAACAGTAATATAGCATTATATGATAAATACAGAATTGTTAGACTGACTCCTAACTAAAGTGTTTACAGTATTTTAACGCTTGATTGACCTATATACAGGTATAGAGCTGCGACATAAAATTTTGGCATTTGTTTCTAATTTGTGCTCATTAATAAGAGTAAACTGGTGTTCTTCTTTGAATCTATATCACACACAAACACACGCACGTTCGCACACACGCACGCTCACCAACGCACACACGCACGCACGCACACACACACGCACCAACACACGAACACACGAACACACGCACACACGCACACACACACACACTATTAATCAAATTAAAAGAAACAGATGATGAATCAATTGCTTTACATAAAGTGATATTTTATTTCTTTCTTATTCAAAGCATCTGTCATAAATTGAAGCTTTATTATTTTCACCAATTTATTAATATGTCAATACAATTGATTCTCTTAATATGATATTTCAATCATAATGAATATCACGCAGGTACTTGCTATGGTAAACATTGAAGCAAGATACGAACTTGGAAATGAAACGGAGGATTTGTTCTGTCATCCCGACATAGGCCACTTAAAGATGCATACACATTACAAAGATATTTGCAATTTTACTAGTTTGAATTCGGGATTACCATGGTTTTGTGGAAAGCCTAAAAGAAAAACTTTACAATGCAAGGATTGGAAATATAGCAGACATACATACCAGGATAATACATTTTTGCTAAATCAATGTGAAAAAGATGTTTTGAAAAGGTAAGTAACGGATATTTAGTTTCGAATCATTACAAACTTAAAATCACTAAAAAAGGTTTCTTGCCAAAAATGGGCATGTGTTTCTGTTTTCAATTGATTTTGCTAAATTATAGTAAACATGATTAGTAAATGTTTAAAGATGTCCTTGAATGAAAGAAAAGGTCATTTAGAAATTCGTTTTTTCCGTAACGCGATTGTTTATTCCCGCCATCCTTTTCACTGACGACGTAGGAATATTCCTACCAGTTGATCTATATACATGTATCAGCTTTACTCCTATGTTAATATTACCAACTAATCAATCAAAATGTGTAATGTTTAGCGTTATGTAGCTGTTTTAGAAATAATATATGACCTAAGGTGATGAATGTTTTTTTCTTCAGTTTTTGGGGTCAGCATACTTAAAGGGGGGATGGAAACCTGTCAATCATTTAGTCTGCAATCAAGGTTCATTTATTTGTCGGTAATTAGAACGTTTGAACTGCATTGACCACACGCCACCAAACTTATATTATTCTTATTGCCATTAAATTTTAGGTGATCGTTGAAGAATATTTTTAATTAACGTTTCTAACATTCTGTTTTCTGCATGAGCGTGGAAAGCAAGAACAAAATCTGTGTTTGTCTATAAAAGTCACATGTTATTCTTTTAAGTTAAAAATGTTTTGTGCTAACTCATAATTTGGTATGTAATTTTTAAAAGAGTTGACTCTACAATTGTTGACTTAAGTTTAATTTGATAAAATTTAAGACCTACATTAATATAGAATGAAATTAAATGTAGGTGTACGCGGACTTACATACGCAATACTATAAAAGAGTGCGCAGTGGCACTTTTTAAACAAGTTGTTTATCGTGACATCAAAAAGGCATCTTTTCGGAGAGCAAAGAAGTTATTTTGCCAGTAGTTTGGTTCAAGCATATAACTTAAAAGTAACCTCAATGAATTTGTTTTAAGTGCATACATATCATGTACGTAAATGAAAATAATTTTACGAATGAAAAATACATGCATATTTTACAAGGAGATCTATTAACGTCACTTCCATTTTGAGGTCGCATCTGAATAACGGAAAGCAACACTTACATCTGTGTGAGAAAAAAATGTACCGGTTGTATTAAGCAATACATTTACGCGTAAATTTTGAAAAATTAACTTAATTAAATTGGCCAATGACCTTTACATTTAAAGTATTTAAAAAGTTTTATTACGTTATCTTGTGTCTTCGCAAGTGTATATGACCAAGACAACACATCAATTTTTTGATAAAAAACACACGAAAGAAAAAAACGTTACTAACTCCGCTCCCTAGGAATATAAATGAGTCATTGCTCTTCTTCAGAAGTAATGCATAAACATAAACCCGCCTTTAAGACGAGCACTTGAAGAATGGCATGCGATATTGTGGCTAAGTTATAAAATTTGTGTACCTAAGTGAAATGAACTTATTACCCAGATTATAATCAATGGCATTGATAGACAACAAGCAATTACCATAGTATTGCATACAATCTATAAGTTTCCTACCGGTAAGGACCCCAGCAACATTCTCAAAAGCGATCTCAGGAAACAGGTTTTCTTCTGATTAACAAAAGACAGACAGACAGACTGAAGGACACTCTAAATATTAAGAAAACAAAGACGTGCATAATCTCCATACTGCAATCTATCTATATATCAAGTTTCATATAAAATATTTTCAGTACTCTTTGCGTTATAACGGGATCCAGTTTTGTTGACGAACAGAGTGGCGGACGGACAGACGGACCGAGGGTAAACCTTAAGTCCCCACCGATTAATTAGTTAGGGGACTAAAAAAAATTATATGTAAATAATCTTAAATGGCTAAATAATTGATGGTTGCAAATAAAAGTAAGTGAAGGTATGTAAATATAGCTAAGCTTACAATCGATTTTCTCTCTCGTTGAATCAGTTAGTAGATATCTCAACAAACACTTCATCGTTTACAATTGAAATGTTAAAAAGCAGACATTTTGCACATGTATTCTTATGTAAACATGTCCAATATATAGCAACAGAGATATCATTACATTTTATTTGACGTTAAAGGGGACATTTTAAGCAAAATATTCAACTTTGTACATAGGTTACCTAAGCTTAAGCTCAAAATTAGCATAAATAACTTTAAATCGCACCAAAGACTGTTGACGTTTCTATATTAATGTGCTTTAGATCGCACACAAATATTAAACAAACTATCAACATAACTGTTAATTTGCTTAAGATCACCTTAAAGGCTTGAATTTAATATAACTTTAACAATGCTTTCTTGTTTAAGATGGTACCAAAGGCTTTACCAAACTGTTAAAACTAAAGCAAAACTGTTACAATCCTTATTAATAAGTGTTCATTATGTTTCAGAAAAGGACACTTTGATTACAACAGGTCTCCCTTATTTGTTAGACCTATTACATTCTTAATCATCTGTGAAAAAGATATAAAAACGAAAACTGAAATACATTATTTTCAAGAATTTCTACCATTATCAGATTATTCCCGGTATGTAAAATATTCATGCTTTGAAAAAGACATCTATCGGAATTAAATACAAAGGTAATACATCGATTTAAACACTTGCTTATTAGCCAACAAGGAGAAAGAAAGTAAACGCATATGTATATAATTATATGCATATCGCAAAATATAAATATAAATAAGAAATATTTTCAAAAAATATTAAATAACATATTTACTGTTCATTATACATGTATAACAATCTTATTTGTCTCATATGTAAAAATAACACAATATGTTTTCAAGAGTGTAAATCATTTGAAAATAATTATCAAATCAAAATATATAAATAAAATATGTGATTTATATTTTTTTATAATATGCTATAAGGATTGCCATGCATGTATTGTCATTTTATTAATAATTAATCAGAACAATAAATCCTTTTACATTCCGGGTTGGCAGCTTTGTGTTTCATTATATATAGCCGATCCCAACTTTAAAAGTGCAATTGCTTTATATAACGAATGATTCCTTGTTAAGCATTTAATGATATTTTGGAATATGTTTTGCAATTAGTTGCAATTAAGATATCCAAAATTTTCTATGCTTTTCCAGTTTTGGCATTCATCGGATGAATATCCTTCAAAATATAGTTCGTTATCATTGTCAAAGTAACTCATTATCATATATTTGCAAGCTTATTTGTGAATGGCACAGTTAAATAAATTTTAAAACAAACACCCAAAAATAATTATTATAGCATTCCCTATCATTTTTCAATATCCCTGTGTACATGCACATATGCCTGTTATTACGATTTGATCTATTTTGACCGATACTTGATTGACACAGTCATTTACGCAAAAGAAAATACTTGAGCGATTTTATCCATGGCATAGAAAACTATTGTGTAGACCCTCCGTTACTAAACTTTATTGTGTCAGAGTTTTACTAGTGAGCTTGTATTGTCCAGTCTGAAACAAGGTACTTAAAGGGGTTCCAATCAATTTTATTTATTCGCAAAACGTTGATCAACTTAGCATAATCTGTTTATATTGCACAGACATGTAGTGTTATATTTTAAGTGGGAGACAGTCCTCGTATCTCTCGATTCCAGACGAATAATGAACGCTAGACATCTTCGGGGCCTCGTCTCCATTATTTCTCAGGAATGGACTGATACTTGGCCTTTCTCCGTTACACAATATGCTTACGATCGGAAAAAAGGCTAGAAGGGACTATAAAAAACATAACAATAGTAATTTACTTTATATCAAACTAAATGATTGACCAAATATTTACATAATTATGACAATTTTCTAAAGATTCCACCAAAGAATTGGACAAACTAAAACTATAATAATGTTTGTTTGCTTTAGATCGTACTAAAAGCTTAAATTATCTTTTATCATAACGATGTTTATTTGTTTAGATGAAATTGTGAAGGCATGAAAATTACAGAACTAGTTAATTTCTATTTCATTCGCTCCATAGGCTTGGCCAAGTCATAGCTAAAGATCGCACTGATGGCTTCAAAAACTATCAACAAAACTATATTTACTTCTTTTTCAAATTTTTAAATACTTTAACGAACTATTCATTCAAGTAATCCTGTTAATTCTCTTCAGATCGCACAAATGGCTTTGGCAAATTATTTACGTAGCTACGTTATTTTTTTTATACCGCACCAAAAGCTTGAACAAAACTAACATCATTATATTAATTCGCGCTTTAGATCGCACCAAAGGTTTGATCAGACTAATAGTGTACCTCTTTTAATTTTCTATAGATCATAAAAAAGGCTTGGACAAACTATATAGATAAGTTTTTTTATGTAAATCGCTACAAAGGCTTGATTATAACTATTAATGTTACTATGTTAATTTACTTTAGATCGCATCAAAGGCTTGAACAAACTATTAACGTTTCTATTCAGGAGACAAAGCAGACGAAAGAACGCCTCTCTTGTTTCAAATATAACATTACTAATTTGTGGTTTCTGAAACAGACAACCGGATATTTACAGAACACGACTTGGCATACAACACATTGCAAAGGTACAGAAATAACAAAGAGATAAACACTAACTTAAGGGTTAGGTTTAAGTATAATATGTATATGTATCTTCATCATGACAATTATTAAGTAACCTTGTAACGACAAGCATGTTGTGACTCTTATCAATACGGCAGAAAGAAGGCATGATATAATGTATAACAAACAGCTACGCAAAGGGGTCAGTAATCTTAATTTATCATTTAAATAAAATTAGAACATTATACATTAATTTGGAATTTAATAAAATGACAATATTATTTCTTGATTGTGTAACAAATTTGTAAAATCCTTGTCATTCCTAATGTGTACCTTTCATTACAAGGACTTATTTCAGGTTTAATCGAAGAAAATCTTAGCCGTTGTATCAGAAATAAAACGCTTTACCTATTTGGAGACTCAACTGTTAGACAATGGTATTCAGCAATAAAAAGACGGATTAATTGTAAACAATTTACGAAGAAAATGACATATCCAATATCTAAATTAACAACAGCAGGATGTACCGCGACAAGTATTAACTTCACGATGTTTTTAGCACCGCACTCTTATCCGTTTTATATTAGCAAAAACCACTGGAAATTTGCTTTAGATTATTTGATTTCAATATCTAGACGAATTGACCAAATATCACCATTTGAAGATGCAGTACTTTTGGTCCATGTATTTGCACACATGAAAACGTTCCACTTTAAAAACTTCAGGAAAAAGATCAGCCATATCCGTCATGCTATTGAAAGACTTTTAGAAAGGAATAAACATGTTAAAATATTCATTAAGATGCCACATACATTTACTGAGAATATTGCAGGATTGAATGACTTTTTCGGTTGGCAATTTTCAAAAATAATATTCGAGACATTTGATGGGCTATTTGATGAAGTAATACCCTTAGATCAAAAAGACGCAACCATTGCAGCAATGTCAAAATTCTTACACCCCCCTAACTTTATAGTCGAGGCTATGGTTAATCAAATGTTTAGTTACGTGTGTGAGTAATTAATCACACTTGAGAAATTGGAGAAAACAACAAATATTTAATTTACCTGGATGAGCAGATATTCATTTTTTTTTGTTAAGAATCTTCAAGGTCAATCGAAAAAATGTTATGAAATACAACTCAGCTACTAATAGTGATAAGTTACGGTTAGTTTATATGAATGCAAACACCATGTTGCCGGTGCAAAATGAAAATGTTTGATTTAGCCCCGTTTTGGATCAGAGAAAATGCGCTAATAAACTTTTCGATTTTAATTTTCATCAGGATGTTAGTAGATATTGTGAAATGTTGCTACGTCATTTCTCCGATCTATACTTTTTTAGGGTCACTGATCCCAATTCTTTTGGCATTGAACACATGATAATGCTAAAAAGTAGGTAAAAAAAGGCAACCAGTTATATCTCATGAACCATTCAATTAAACAAAGAATTTGGGTTCATACATGTATAATGTTTTTCTTTGAAGATCAACCTTACAGGAAATATATTTTATTTTAACCAGCTATACAAACGTTTTCTTATATTAAGTAAGTCTGGTATTTATTATATAACTCAAACAGTAAGACCATATAGCCGAACATTTTGCATATAAAGCACTAAAGGTGAGACATATTCAAAAATACAAATATGTATAAAATAAACAGTGTTAGCGGTATTTCCTATCATTTCAATTTTGATTACTCATGAGCAATGGTGCGAAATAAATAATATATCAAATCTTAAGACTTAGAAAGTTTTTGGGGGGGTTTTTGGCATTTTTTCACAATGACATTTGAAAAGAGGTTCAATAAATTTGTTGCACTCGTTGTTTAAATTTTTATTGATTATTTGTGTCAACAAATCAATGTTTCAAATGTTTTGTCACTGCATTTATTATTAGTTTTGCATATAAAAATAGATACATTTATATAAATAAAATACAAATATAATGAAATAACCTCATGTAAGGTTTTATGGACTTAAATGGTTAATAAAAACATTTACAAACATAACGAGCCAGCGACAGGGTCTCACGCAAACGACGTTAAGGGGTTTATCCTCTTTGTGCTAATCATGCACCCTTTAAGAAGCTCATATTGAAAGTAGCTCAGTGTGAAATATAAAATTTGGAATTCTTATAGGGACACATCTAGTCTAACGAACCCGAGGCCCCGTGTTTACGGGGATCAAACTAAGGATCAAATTTAAAAAATCTGAAATTCTTCTTTGAATTATTAAATATCTAATATTAATTGCCAATGGATAAAATTGGACATGCAATTGCAAGTTTATGAAATTTTAAAGTAAATTGATTGTTATTTTTGCAAGATACGGGCGTTTTAGAATTGATCCAAATATTGATCCTGATCCTAAAATTGATCTTTATTTTGATCGACATATTTGTATTTGTATTTTTATTTGTCGATTTTAACACAAAATAGTTTTGTTTCTCTGCAAATAAGCATTGTTTACATTTTGAATATGTACTATTTAATTCAAGCAAAACACGATTAATTTAGTAACATTAATCAATGAAAATAAAATCAAAATCACTTGATCTTGATCTTTTCTTAGTGATTATTGGGCCAGAAGAAAAAAATATTAGTGTACATGCATTTTTAAGGCTGCCCTCGAAAACCCCGCTTTTTGGCACGCTTATTTTCAAAACTACAAAACAATTCATTCAGTAAGACTACTCCTTAGCTTAAGCTGTCGGAAAGTGTTATTACATCGTCACCCTTATCCTGATGAACGTCATCATTATTATTCTGTGTTTCTACAGCCTCGTCTTCTCAGTGTAAGAGTAAAAATACAAAGGCTGTTGAAAACAATGCAGGGTACTCAAAGCAAAATGCAAGTTAAATTATGTAAGTGAATATATGAAGGTATCAGAGCATTGTTAATATGATGTCTGAGTAAACTTATTAAAGTATGTAACGTTTCAGATTGAATTGTATACAAATTGTCCGTGTTTTGTGATGTTGATAGGTTTTATCATTGTATGCATGTGTTTGTATAGCAAGAAACGTCATGTTTACGTTTAAAATCAAATATAATTTTTTGGGGAAAAACACAAACAATAAAACAACAACAATAAAAAGAGCGTTTTATACCTTTTATATCTTTTATGCAATGGTTGCATATGTAAGTAAATGAAATTATGGTGAAATTATAAGAAATGAGCAAACGAGTAAATAATATGCACGTATTCCTTCTTTGGTCAAGTAAAAAAAAGAAGTTAACTTAAAACAAAATATAAATTGAAACAAAATATCAATATCAACACATAACCCGTTATGATATTTTATGGTTACCTTTGAATTGCATAAGCTGTCGGTACTTTTTCTTCCTCATGTAACAGTACTCTATCGTCACAGACATCCGAAGCATTAACAGTTAGGAGTAAGAGTCTGAAAAGCCTTACTAGGGTTAGGGTTATGGCTGTCTTTAGGGATTTTTATTTTCTCTATTATATCGCCACATCAGCGTTGTTTGGCCGTGTGGAGGCTTAAAAAGTCGCCCCGTACATTCAATCAGAGATGTTATATTTCCGAACTTTAAAAATCGTTCTGCACGACATAATTGTTGTGTTTGTGATATTTTTAGTTTTAATTATTTGGCATTTTCTAGTTGGGTGGTTCCAATATTCCTTCTTGAATAATGTTGAATCACCTTTAGGATATGTTTCCTGCTTTTTAACTTTGTCTTTTCATGTTTAAATGTGAATTCTGCTAAAGCCGGTGCTGGGGGCGGGTGTGGACGGTAACTTGCCCTTTACAGTACCGTCCCTGAACAGGCTCAAACCAATTTGAACCTGCAACATTTTCCATTTTGCCGTTTTGGGCTTTCTGTAGGGATTCTTTATTTTCTCCTCTTTAGCAAATACTTGCAAAGTTGGTATAACATGTGATAAAAGCTTTAAGTTGAGCTTGTGAGTTCATGAATAAGAAATGGAAAAATAAGTGAGTTTAAATGTCCACAATAGTTTTTCTGTCGATTGTGGATAGCAATTCACAACAAAGTTTTTGTCAGGCTTTAATATATTGTTCAATATATTTGATGTGCAATGAACTTATAGTTAATGAAATATAATGGTAGTCCGAAGCAAATGTTGTTCCGTATGCGCATTGACAAAATCTGGAGAAAAAGTGATTCATCGGAAGCGTTAATCACAACAAAATTAATCCATGAAAAGTGCAGAGTCGGTTTGATTGAGTCTTAACATGAAGGAAAATGAAAAAGTGAAACATTCTAGCTTGGTCCCAGCACTCAATTTTCAACACTTCAAAGTGCTAGAATCAAAGATATCAAAGGATCAAAATAATGTACCAACTCTCAAGAATTGGATCGGAATACTTTGTTACATGCATATAAGGAAGTACTGAAAGTGGGTCTTGGTTTCTCACCATTTCAGTTGCTCTGCGGGTTAACCGCCATATGCACACATCAGCGGATGTTTTTAAAATCAAAATTTTGCATTTCATGTTAAAATCTTAAACTTTGATTAAGCCAGTGCTAGGGGGCGCGGACGGTAGTTTGAACTTGACAGTACTTTTCATGAACAGGCTCGAACACAATGAACCTGCAACATTTTCATTTTGCCATGTTGGACAATCTTTAGAGATTTTTTTTTATTTTATCGCCACATCAGCGAAGCTTTTGCCGTGTGGAAGCTGTAAAAGTCGCCCCGTACATTCAATCAGAGATGTTATATTTCCGATCCTTAAATATCGCTCAGCACGACAATATTATTGTGTTTGTGGTATTTTTAGTCTCAACTATTCAGCTTTTGCGATTTTGGTGGTTCCAATATTCCTTCTTGAATAATGTTAAATCACCCTTGGAATATGTCGCCTGCTTTTAAACTTTGTATTTTGACGTATGTGATATGGAGGTTTCTTGACCTCTGATCCCCATTCAAAATTCAAATGTGTTAAGTTCCGCCCATTGTGTTCTTCTTTTAAGGCACACGCCGCCATAGTGTAGCCAGGTACGGTTTGTCAGCGTACGGTATGGTACGGACATATACAGAACATGATTGTAAAAGAGTTGTTTCCCTTCGTATTACATGTACGCCATTTTGTTGCCGATTCTTTAGGCAATATTAATAAACTACAAAACTCATATATTTGTGTGTTTCTATACCGTTAAACCATACTGGCGTGGTGGCAGCAGGAAAAGGACTCGCTCTCAATCTGCAACCCAGTAATTTGCGGACACTGTTGTGGACATTTCACGTCAAAATAAGTGCAAAAAAACGGATAGTTCTACTCTACTGCGTAGTGACAAAACACATAAACATTTACAATAATGGCTCAAGTACGTGCACCCAAGCAATGGTGTTTGACCAAACAAGAAACTATTACATCGTTCGAGTCTTGGAGACAAAATTTACAATATACTTTGTCCCTGGATCCCAATTTTGCACCGTTCCTAGTTGAGGGATTTCAGTGGGAGCGAAAAACAAACACAAACCCAGAACGCGGATTTACTGATGATGGCGAATCAGTTCCTGAGGCAAAGAGGCGCACAGCTGCACAAAAAGTGATTTATCTAGAACTCATGTTAGGGCAAATTGCAAACTTCTGCCCAATAATTTCTCGTAACACTATCGTGAAAAACGCAACGTCAATAAAAACTATTTGGCAGACAATTCGTTTACATTTCGGATTCCAGTCAACAGGAGCACATTTTCTGGATTTTGACAGTATACAACTTCAACCAGGAGAGAGACCAGAGGATTTATACCAGCGTTTATCAAGTTTTATCGAAGATAACACATTAAAGAAAGATGGTGGCCTATCTCATATGGGAACTGTACCAGATGAAGACGAAGAGATTACCCCAACAGTCGAAAACTTGGTTGTATTAACATGGTTGAGATTAATAGACAATCGTTTGCCGGCACTAGTAAAACAGCGCTACGGAACAGAACTTCGTTCAAGGACTTTAGCCACACTTAAGCCTGAAATTTCTCTTGCTTTAGACAGTTTGCTAGACGAAATACATGCCGTAGCTGATGCAAAAGTCATGCGTTCTGCTTTTAAAAGGTTCTAAAGACAACGGAAAATTTCGATCAATCTCTCGTGCCACCCCTTCGTGTCCCTTATGTAAACAAGCTGGCCGAAGATCATTCAATCATTTTCTCAGCAAATGCAAATTCTTACCTGAGGAAGACAAGCGTTATCTTTCAAGTGTTCGTCAAACTGTCTCGGACGAAACTGCGGGGGATCCGGAAATCGATCAAGAGTCTTACGAAGATGACAATCAGCAATCTCAATGCTATGGTATACATTCGGCTACTTCTAGACGTGTAAGCACCAAACAGTCTCCAACATTAAAAACATTTTATAAACATTTTCCTCTGAATGTTACCCTAGATACTGGAGCAGAAATCAACATGTTGAAATTGTCTGTTGCACACTATATGGGAGTACCTATTAAGAAAAGCAATCAACGTGCACTCCAGGCAGATGGTTCCACCCCATTAAAGGTGGCTGGCGAGACACATATAGTTCTTACTCGTGGCGAACAGAGTTTAACTGTTGAGGCATTAGTGGTTGAAAACTTAGATGTGGATTTACTTGGTGGAATACCTTTCATGGCAACAAATGACATTATGGTTAGACCTGCAAAGCAACAAATTGTTATTCATGGTTCTGATACAGTGTTTTATGCACCAGAGGTACCTGACTCGGTTTCTCACAGTGTTCGAAGGACCCAAGCTTTTGTCCTTAGGTCAAGTTCCAATATGTCTTCAATTACATGGCCGGGATCTTACCTGGAGGTCACTTTGCCAGACAACATTGATCCAGATGGCACACTTGCCATAGAGCCCAAGTTCGGAGCATCCAGTAACAAACAATGGCCACTTCCACAAGTTATTGAAGCAGTGTCTGGTAAAGTAAGACTACTGAATTCAACGACCAATCCCATCCATGTGCATAAAAAATGAACATGTTTGTCAAGCTCGCCACACTGTTGACTCTTATGATACAAAAGCTCAAGACTTTCAAGACACACCCCTGGTTCGTACTTGTCATGCCAAGATGACTACCAATAATCATTTCTCTGATACCGTATCAGTTGACCCAGATGCTATACTACCTGAAAATACTCGCCAGTGTTTCCAGAACATCTTAGAGCAATATGATAGTGTATTTGATAAGACTCTGTCTGGATATAATGGTTTTTTCTGGGCCATTCAAAGCAGTTGTTAACATGGGCCCTGTTCAACCACCTCAGCGTAAAGGACGCCTACCTCAATATGCAAGAGATAAGTTAGTTGAGCTACAAGAACACTTCGATGATTTAGAACAGCAAGGAGTGTTTTCGCGCCCAGAAGATATCCCAATTACAGTTGAATACTTAAACCCTTCTTTCTTGGTAAAAAAAGGTCAGGGAGGTTTTCGGTTGGTCACAGCGTTTGCTGATGTTGGTCGTTATGCTAAACCTCAGCCTTCACTCATGCCAGACGTAGACACTATACTTCGTACAATAGGTCAATGGACATACATAATAGTAACTGACCTAACTGACCTAACAAGCGCATTCTACCAAATTCCTTTGTCGAAGGAGTCCATGAAGTATTGCGGAGTAGCGACACCTTACAAAGGCATACGCGTTTATACAAGATGTGCCATGGGTATGCCAGGCTCAGAAACAGCATTGGAAGAACTCATGTGTCGTGTGCTAGGTGATTTATTGCAAGAAGGTGTTGTGGCGAAACTTGCAGATGATTTGTACATCGGTGGAAACACTACAGACGAACTCCTTGCCAATTGGACCCGTGTATTAGATGCTTTACAGAAAAACAACTTGAAACTGAAGCCCACAAAAACCATCATATGTCCAAGATCCACTACGATCCTTGGATGGATATGGTCCCAAGGAAAATTTTCAGCAAACCCCCATCGTATAGCTTCGGCTTGTCCACCCCCTCAAACTGTCCATGGGTTACGATCATACATTGGCGCTTACAAGCTGTTGGGTCGTGTTCTACCTGGTTGTTCGCAATTGATAGCTCCACTCGACAACATTAC